GATTATTGAATTTAGAAATCTGAATATACTTGTTTGTTGTTGTTGTTGTTGTTGAATCTAAAAATAGGTTTGTTTGTTGTTTAAAAATATTGTTCAATCAAAATAATTTTAGTTGTTTCTTTGTTGTTCATCATTTAGTTTGAATTGGTTGTTGAAAATTATTTAGAAATTGGTCATATTTGCTGTATTTTGGTTGAAATTGATTAGGTGAATTGGTTATAGCTGATGGGGGTAGTTTGGTAATTTGCAGTACGTTCAGGGGTAAAATGGTAATTTCAGTAAGGTCAAAGGAGTATTTTTGGAATTAAAATTCTGAACAATTATTTATTTTGAGTGCTCTTTCAATTAGAATTAAAATAATATTAAAATAATCAATAATGGGAGACAAGATATAATGGTGGGGAATAATGAAATTGTTTAATATAAGCATGGGGGACAAAATATAATGGGGTATTTGTTTAATGTAGTGGGGGACAAAACATTAAGTAGTGGGATTAAGAGGGGGTTGAGTGGGAAGATAGTGAGTTTTATGTTTAAAAAATGCTGAAAGATGGGGATAAATAGAGAGACTTGATCAGATTTTTAAAAGAAGAAGGAGAGATAGAGAAAAAAGAGAGCTGGATATTAAAGAGAGAGAAAAATTCCGAAAATACTAAGACTCCAAAAATAANTTAAAGGATAAAATTTGCACATAAGTTTATAATATGTATTATATCAAATAATCAAGCTGAATATAACAGTTGAGTGACCGTGCTAGAACCACAGAACTCGGGAATGCCTAACACCTTCTCCCGGATTAACAGAATTCCTTATCCGGATTTCTGGTNAATATTCTGATATACGGATTCAGAAATTAAGGGTTGAACATTAATTAGTCTTTCAAATCTGAAAAGATTCCTTTGGCTTCCGTCCGTTGATTGTTGTCGGTGTTTCTGGATTTTTATATTGATTTTAAAATCTGTCACTGGTTTCTCGTTGCTGGTTGTTACTGGTTGCTGGGGTTGCTGTTGTTGTATGCTACTGAATTTCTGCTGATCTCCCTTTTCTTTTGTTTCCAATATCATGTACACAACTGACACACTGGTTACTGTAAACTAAAATATGAAGCATGAATATGAAAATGAAGAGTTGAAGTTCTAAATTTATTTTAATTATATTCTGAATTTTATTTGTATATATAAATTATTTNGACTTGGGACACCCTAAATCTCCCAAGTGGCGACTCTGAAATAAACAAACAAATCCCGTTTCGATTGTCCTTTAATTGGAAAAAACTCCTTCACTCCTCGCGGGGACGGAAAAAAGAGGTGTGACAACAGTTACAAGGAATCTTTAGTCATAAATATTTCTGTTACGGTTAAACATGAACGGGAAATCAATACAACTAATACCATTAATGATCCCAAATTAAGTAAGGAAACTATTATAATTATATGCTCTTATATAAGAGCTGACATTTCATTTACAGGAGAAAGGAACGATGATTATTGAAATTCATACAATTATTCTTTGCTTTATTCTCCAAGCTTTGAGCCTTAATTTTTGGGAGTGATTATTAGTTCATTCCTTATTTTCTCTATCAATTATTTTCATTCTTTGATTTATTTCTTCCAAAATCGTTGGGAAAGTGAAGTAAATCTAGATTATCAGTAACCCGATTTCATCTAGATATTGACTTTGACCGAGAAATCGTTTTTTGGTTAAACAAATTATCTCTCGGCAAGAAAGTGCAAATGTGTTTTATTGCTATATTTGGTTTTTGCATCTTTTACTTGTTGAAATTCAAATGTTTTTTCTTCTCTATAGTCAAGGTTTTAACTATTCTTTCTTTTGGAATATCATCAGTGTCAACCTATTTGTCTTCTATAGACTCGATTTGCCACCGAAGAGTGGTGCAAACTTCTATGGTAGTAAGTTCCTTGATGCTAAAGAGCTATTGGGAAGTTATGTGTCATATTTAACTATAATTGTCGCCAATTTGGTAATTATTAAACATAACAAATTAAGTTTCAAAGAGAAGACATAAATCTAAATTCTGGGCAAAGACTGCAGACTATGTGATATTATTTGTAAAGTGTGGCTAAATTTAACTATTGACATATTTAGCACAAGATAACCATTGAAATTGTTTGGAACATATGCATCCAACAAAATTGTTTTAAAGTGTTTTTTCCTTATCTCTTAAGTCAGATTAAAGTGTTTTTTCTCTGGGGCTTCGGAGTGGCGAAATGGATACTGTTATACATAGATTTATTATTCTGCTATACAATACTAGGAGATTAATAAAATAGAGATCAAGCTTAATTTCTCTGGCCTGTTATATTCTATCTTATTCTTGTTTGGTGCTTATTATTGCATTGATCATGGTTATTTGATCATTACATTACTAATAGAAACTAGGGATCCACCAAACTATAGAGAACCTGGTTCTCTATCAATTCCCACAGCAAAATAACAGTAAATAAGGAACACATAATATTTATGTGGAAAACTCCCAGCTCACGAGATTAAAATTCACAATCTATACTAGTAAGATTTCAACTTTACTAACTGAGCAAACTTTAGATTACAACCTATTGCAATTTAGGAATTAAACTCTTAATCTCTCACCTCTTGCAATACCTATATTGTAAGCTCTTTATGATAACTCTACTACAAAGCTTCACACTTGACTAACTCTAGTCAAACAACCATAAGCAATAATGGTTTAAATGATGTCCTGCTAAATACTTCTAACAAGTTGTGTAGGAATTATAAGTAAATAAAATGAAACAAAACATAACAATACTTAAGGACATTAGACATATTCAATGTTGGGATCTGGTCCTTTGTTTTGTAGCTGCTTTGTTCTTCAATGCACCTAAGGAAAACATAGACGGCTGCACACATGAAGGAATGTATGTTTTACAAATGCAAGTGTTTGGTCAAATCCATGTAACATGATGTATATATGTGAGAGATCATGAGAGTAGTTATAAGGGCATTTCCAATCTCCAGCAAAATGCAGTTGTACTGTTGTAAGTGCAGTGCAGTAGCTTTAACAACTGTAGAGTTGATTTGCCCGACGACCTGAGGACCTGATCCTATTTGTTCCCCGTATTGTTCTCTTGTCTGTTTTCCTTGAAAATAAAGCCAAACAACATGGTATGTTATTATTTTATTTTACAACCAAAACTGTATTTTATCTAAATTTAATTTTTTTTATTTGAGTGTGGTTATATTGAACATGTCTATTCTGAAAGAGAAACGTCTCTTCCAAAAGGTCTGGATTTTTAGTGTATCAATAAGAGTTTTTTCCAGCAAAGTGGCATAGAAATACCAGCATATATATATTCTTGACTTCTTGTATTATAAAAAAGATCCGCAATTAAAATACGGGCAATATCTTCTTTCAAAAAAGTTTTTTTCACCCCTCAAGCCTTCTCAATTTCGTTTTCAATTTACTGATTATTTTCTGACAGGATGTTTAATCATTTTGTTTTCTTAAAATAACAAGCAATAGACTTGTGTATGTATTTCCATGGACGGTGTTTATGTACAGCGTCATTATATTGCGTGTGGGATCAATTGCATGCACGAGACTTGGGTAAGAATTCACCTGTAAGCTTGAGTATTTAGTGGCCATGTCACGTGTAAGCACGTTTAATTAATTAAATATGCCAGCTCTTTTAAAGATAGATTATCAAGTATGCTACACGTACTTTTTTGTTAATTATTACCGACAAGTTATTTTTTTGTCAATTATTACCGACAACGACCTATTATATTCTGATCAAATATTGGAAATAATATATATTTGTTACCTTTACATTGTCACAAAGATTAACAATTATACATCTGTCGACTTGAATTAAGTCATGAATTCGCCTTTAATTTTTGACAAAAGTTCTTTCCTCATTAACTAAAATGCAATCTACATCTATATATCTATATAAAGCAGGACTTAGGTAAGGTGATGCACTTTTTTGAACAAGGAAATCTCCTTATCTTTTTTCTCCTTTTTTTGCCAGTTTCCCATATATTCCTTTTTATTTTATGTGCTAATTAAAAAAAAACGAAAAGTCACGCCTAATAAATTGTCTTATTTATTCTTGCGCCTTTTCCTCCTCTTCCGCTCTTTAATACGCCTCTTCCTCTTCTTTTGTTCTTTAATTTTATGAGTTACGTCCGACTCTTTTCCTTTGGAAAAAGTAACGCCTTTTCCTAGCCTCTCTTTTCTCTTTCGACCGTCATACCTGACAATCTCACAATAGTCAATAGGTATACCTCTTTCGGCTTCAGTTATTTTAAGAGTGGGATTATTCTTATAGTGTGCATATTTTTCTCTTTGCTATTGTCAATCAGAAGGTATTCTTCTTTCATTACTTTGTGCTTACTGGACTGCAACTCTTTGTGATTTTAATTTTTGTTTATTTTTGTTTCAAATCCATGTGCTGATATTCAACATGTTCAATTGGACAAGACTAAATTTTTTGACATGTTTAAAATCATTATTTTTGTCATTCCTGACAGTATGACTATTTTTATAGTGTGCGTTTATATTTTCTTTTTGTTTTGTTAATCGACTCATAATTTACATATTTTTTCTTAGATTTTTTCTTCTTTTCTTTTGTGTAATTCTTTTGGGATTTTAGTTTTTTTTTTGTATCAAGCTGATGCTCTCAAAGAGAGGCTCGAGGTTAGCAAATACGTGTTATGTTCTTATTCCCCCTTTTCTCCATATTTTTTTCCCTTACTTTTTAGTCGGTCTACGATATTTATGCTTATTAGCGTGTTAGTTCTACTTTTTGTGTATTTATATTGTAAACTTTTATTTCCTTGGTAGAACAAAAAAATAAACTAAATATAGGGATTAATGTCTACACCTTTATTTTATTTATGTACGTCAACTTTCTTTTTTTAATTTTTATTTTTTAAATATTTTTGATTTTTGTATTTGTAAAGACGTTTCCCCCAAGCACGAATATATATAGTGATGTGCATACTCGATAGTGTTGGAATTCTATTTATCTTTCTCTTTTTTGGCCTTTTTCTCATTTTTTTTTCCATTTTTCTTATTTTAAAATGTCAGCACGTGTTGCACCTCTTCGGAAGCGTTACATCTTTTAAAGTCCATAACCCCTACTTTGTTTGTTGTTTCTTTATTTTTATACATGCATGATTCTGCCCGTTTATATGTTGTGATTTTTTGGTGGAGTTGGAAATTAGATAGAAAAAAGATGAGGTTTACTAAAAATTAGATTATCATTTATCATCACATGAGTAAGAGTCTGGGACTCTGAGGTCTAGGGGTTTTATATAAAAGTCTATTCCTTTTAATAAAATCATGATTACATATATACTGTACTAATTAGCGTGTATTTTCGTATACTTGTCCGATGCATGGATGAATATTGATTTGGGGGTTATGCTTTTTTAATTCCACTATTCGTCATCAGTTGTTAATAACGTCCCAATATTTTCACCCTCTAATTTTTTTTCTTTAATTTTCTTCTGTTCTCTCTAGCTAATACTTTTTTTTATTGAGGCTGCTCTACCTCTTCCTCTTCCCGCTCATGGACATATATTAGTTCCTCTTTTTCTTTCCTTTTTCTATTGAGACGAGAAAAAAATGCCGTTGAAGTATTTTCTACGTCCTTGCATTTTTTTTAGTGATTACGACAATTTTTAAAGCTATGTTTCATCCTTTCTCTTTTTGTAAAGTCTCTTTGCTTGTGAGCTTTTGTGTACTTCATCTCTTCTTTTTGTAAATGAGTTGGTCTTTTAGCTAACTTTTTGGAAATTTACCAGAAAATTGGGAGATGAAAACTGAAAGAGATATGTAGGGAGTTTATAAACTGTTAGGAGTAATTTTCAGAGGGTGGCTGAAGGGGATGAAATAGTAGCTGAAGTAAGAGGAGAGAGGGACAAAAGAGGAGGAAAAAAAGTGATAGGATCGAAAAAAGCAGGTGTCATGCGGAAGCTAGCAAATGAAACCTTGAATGACGATAAATCATTCAACAAAAGAGAAATATACCAAAAGAGACACAAATATTTAATGTGGTTCGGTCAACTGACGTACGTCCACGTGCTAGATGAGCAGTCCATTATATAAAAAGTGAGTACAAAATATCGAGAGAACAACCTCACGAAAAGGAAAACACAAGCAACTCACTAATACTTGTCCCGTAAAGTTCTTTCCCTAAACACGACTCTCGAACCTCATATGGCTACATTGTGGATGCCACTGAATAAGAAGGAAGGATCCTCAATTTATAGAAGTCCAAACATTTTCCTACAAGAAAAAGTACTAGCCAAACATGGAAGAATTATAATTTTCTTTTACAAAAAGGAAAATCCAATAAAAATAAATATATTGTCCTTTCTTTCATGAGATAGAAAAACCAATTAAGGTAAGAAAATATGGACAAATACCGAACAAAAAGAATACATAGGAGACTAAAGAAAGAAAAAATTGAAGAAGTAAACAATATATATGTACAACAAAAATATTATTTTAGTGGACAGAACAGAGACCTGTGATGCCAACTTTTTTTTCGTTTGTGTTTAGTTTCTTTAACTTTTATTATTTCATGTTTTTTTAAATTTCAACAGATAAAATTTTTAGAAAAATAATTATTTTATACTATATAATGAAAAAAAGAAACCAATTACTTATATTTAATATACATGAAATTCTTTTATCTCATTTGAGATGACAAAATTTATATAAAAGATTTTCTAAATTGAGTAATGCATTGCGCATTTCGTATTTCGTATCTCTTATATTGCTGTTATTTTATTATGAGTTTATTGATAATATTAATATATCGTCTCTTGTTGCTTTCTTGAGCTGAAGGTCTCCTGGAAACAACCTCTATGTCTCTCGGGGTAGGGGTAAGGTCCGCGTACATATTACCCTCCCCAGATCCCACTTGTGAGATTATACTGAGCCGTTGTTATTGTTGTAGTAGTAATGCACTGCGCAAAGCACGAATATGTTTCCTAGTTATATATTATTTCTAGTCCCTAAAGAGACAAAACAATATTTGAACTACAGTCATAGACCAGTATCAAAATATGCGTCAAAGGGTTTTCCCAAATTCCAGGAAAGATAAGGAATCCAAGTATCATAAAAGTAATAGGCCATGGTTTTAAAACTTTTCTCAGAGTAACAACCTTCTTTTTATAATCAAATTTAAGATCTTCCCGATGGCTGAAAGAATTCTTTTCTCCAAAACGGCTAGGCAGTGCATTGATAGGAGCAGCCACGAAACAAGACGTTCTAGCTACTCAAATTCTTAAAATATCCAAATTTTGGATTCAATCATCTCATGTTTGCAATACACAAGTCCGACTAATTCTGGTTCATGTCATAGAAAACTCACTATGAAAGCTTTGATATTCCTAATTAATTGCTACTGTGTAAAAGACTTTATTTTCAAGGTTCAAACTCTAGACCTCCCGTCAAGAGTTCAAAAAGAAAAAGTCAAAGCAAAATGTGTCTACATATTTTTTGCCGATCATGGCCTACGGAAAATAATAAAAAGTAAAAAAGATGCTAAAACATATAAATGTTTAATCCTTCTAATAATGAAACTAGAAAATTCGTTGAATTAATTACTTGTCTTCCTTCTCAAAATAAGATGAGAGCTTGTCTCTTAACATGTCGAGCTCAACTACCTGTATTGGGAAAAATTACATTTATATAAAGATGACGTGTCGAGACACGTGAACTGGTCAAATAGTCAAAGAATTACAATTAATCAAGATGCACGAGCAACAATAGAAACGAGCAAGGACAAAGAAAGAGGCACGGGTGGCCGTACCTGTTTAAGTCATTTATATCCAAGAATAAAAAAGAATGGATCTGACCACAGTAAAGAGCGCAGATACAGAATTTGACAGGCATTAAATACTGGATACGTTAGGGAATTTGTATTGATTATTATGATTATGTAACGTAGCATTCAATGTCTTTAATTATTCATAATAGCCTCATTATGACTTGGGGAAAACGCATATCTTTAAGATACCTATAAAAGGAAGGTATCTGATCAATTGTAGGAACAAGAGATATTATCGGAATATACTTTGATTTACTTGATTTTTCTCTTGATTACACTCTAATTACCTCAAATTACTTTCCTCTGCATATTCTTTTGATTAT